ACAATTGCTCATAATCTTTGGTTTGCTAAAGCAATAGTGATAAAATAATTGACTTTTGTTCATTACTTTGAATTATAACTTTTTGTTAGTGCTATCATACTAGAACCTGAGATAATTGGCATTCTTAAGGTATTAGCAGCAAAGTGGAATTTGCTTCAGAAATTCTTAAGTTTCCACAGGCTTTGATCAACCTGACATTTTCATTTCCTGATGATTGTGCCTGCCTAAATCTAGAGTTTTTCATTTGTTTTTTTTTTTAATCAAATAAAAAATAATATCCACAAAGAACTCACACATTACTGATCAACTCATTTCGGTATCTCATCTTTTAATCAACAATTATAGCTTAATTACAATCAAAATAATTAAATAATAATACATGGACAAATACACTAGCAAAAGGAATAATTTTATGGATTAGATGTTGGAAGTCTATCTTTTAGGTTGACTTCACTGACACTGTAAACAAGATGTTAAGAAATTGAAAAAAAAGTTTGGTTAATCATTTCGAAGAGAAATCTCAGAAATCTAGTTCTGTAGCCCCAATCAGATTAAGACATTTTATTAAGGAATAATAAAAAAATAGGAAATAGGGAAAATAGGGAAAAAAAATTAAAAAATCTTTATTATTTTTATTTTTTTAACTTTGCTAAAAAAAAGTTCAATAAAAGTTATATAAAAAGACATTTTATTAAAAGGCATAAGCTTTTATCAACCCCATCTTATTTTTTCAGATGCATGGAGGGACAAGACTTAAGTACAGTTGAAATAAGGATAGAAGAGTAATGAGACAGAAAGACAGGGTAGTTATGCAGTTGCAGGATCATATGTAAGACACATTACAAGCATTTTATTATAAGCATTTTATGATGTGTTAAAAACCAATTGAGACCTGAGTTTCTCCCTCATCTTCACTGATATTTTTTTTTCCAAACTACTTTGAAATCTGTAATGGAATGTCCTGATATTATTTCGGGGTTTTTTTAGTCCTGATATTAAATTAATAGATACAATTAATTATTTTGTACAGTCTAGCCCATTTGTCCTACATACAATCCAGAGAGAATTTAAAAACTATGTTGATTTTTCCAAAGTTCAGTCAAATTTTTCCAATTTTTAATTTCAAATTTAATTAAACTATTTTCAAATTTAATCAAATCGAATTTGACTCTTTTGGTATGGGACCCATATAGGAATATGGGTCCCATACCAACATATTATCCAAAAACAAGACTGCCATCAACTCAAAATTATTGTGTATCCTTGGCAAAAAAATAAAACATAAATCCAGGTGTTTATAGGACTCTACGGAAAAGAAATAGGAAATAATATATTTACTGGACATGTAATAGTTTGCAAAGGATTCAGATTCACTTTTTTAAAAAATGTACAGACATTTGTACATTTGAATTTATGTATATGATAAAATGATTTATAGCAATTCTATAGAAATGCCAAACAGTAGCCAACTTTAGCTGATCCACAAATTTCTGTGTGAATGTCTCCATGGGGGCATTATTTTGATGATATAATTTTAAGCAAACAATAAATACGTTTGTAAAAACCCACCCTTTTAAAGGTTTTGCTTTCTTTCCTGACTTTAGTACAATATTTCAATATTCAGAAATTTGGCAATACTATCTGCAAATTTAATTTCCCATGATTTAAGAAGCATTACTTGCCTAGATTCAGCAGAGGTAAAAAGTGTCAATTTATTTTTTGTTTGTTTGCTTGCTAGCTTGTTTTTCACGTTTCTAAACTACCCATCTCCCTTAAAGAGTGGCTCTGTAAAGAGTACAATATAATATAACCGATAAATAAAAAACATAAAATTATATTGATATCCATATACTTTACTGCATTTGTTATGTGCAAGTGAAGAGGCAAGCTTTGGTAATCAATCCATTTCCAAATAGTTAAGTTTTGGGAGTTGATTTATTGGGCACAAAATTCCAGGATGATCTTCACTCTAGTCTAGAATCTAAAGATTTTGATTCTGCCTTATGAGATTGTGTTTTTACAATGAATACGAACTACAATCACTTATAACAACAGCAGGTGCACTTTCTAGGGCTCCCAATTAGCTACTTCTCACAAATGAATTAAAGGCCTAGAAAGGAGTGATCAAATCATTCATACATATATACATTTAATGTTTTCCTAGATTGCCAGCAAAAGCAGTTCTCTGTTTAAGATTTAAACACGAGCTCTGAAAACAGAACAAGCATGATAAAAATCTTCATTAGCAATATTATTGACAAGCCTAACAAAAAACATAACAAAAGTAGAAATAAAATAGGGGCCTAAAAACACATGATGAAACATTCTATTTTGCACTTGCAAGTGACTTTAAAGAAATTATGTCACTTCTAATCAAATAAGACCAATCTGATGAAATAAGACCATATAATTATAATCTATATAAGGGAAAACAATTCTTCACCTGATACGACACTCTTTTAACATTTTGTTAGTTGGGTAGCAAATTGACTTATGCTGTGTGAAGTGTAGATATTATGCATAACGATCTAGTGTTTTTAGACCTACTTCTTATAGAAACATGACCAAAACAACTTGCCTGCTTTTTCAATTTTTGAGATGCCCTTCATTAATTCTTTTAGTTTATCTCTCATATCTTGCTTGGAAATTCATGCCATTTTCTGTAGCTAGAATAGCTCCATCATTCAAAAAATCTTGGCTGCAGCCAACTTGGTTCCTTTGTATGGCATATTCTACCATATTTCTGACAAAAAGTAAGCACCGCATCACATTTATGTTCTTTGCTCTCTAATGGCTTGTTTGTAATGTAGGTAGGGAAATAAACTACGGTGATATTGCTATTGTCTGCATATTGCTGTAATCTTATTTGGATTCTATAATTTTCTAGAGGCCTGGCAGAAGCTTTTATCCTTTATTTCTACATCTTGACTATACTCAGAAATGGCCTCAATGTCTTTTGCTTACTGAAAAAAATGTCTGATTCTTGCCTGCCTTATCTTAACCAATTATGCCGATGCAAATGAAATGGTGCAATTTTATCTCATAAATTAGGATAGCATGGTGGAGACTCATTGCTGAGGCTTCATACATGCCTATGAAAATGTCCTCAGCCATAAGTCTAACATAGTAATGTTTTGCAAGAACCAGGCTTAAAATAAATGGGGATGTTTAATATCCTCCAAAATATTTCAGCTCTCTCCAAAACATCTGGCAGAGCTCTAGTTGCTGCAATATCTCCAAACAGCTCTCCTATTGGATTATTTTACAATATAAGTATATAATTCTGTTTTAAATCCTCTTCCTTTCTGCATCCTTAGTGCCCCTTTGTCTTCTTCTCATTGTCTCCTTAAATTATTATCAAATACAAATACAACTATTCTGATTGATTTGCTAATGTTATGCTTCATTCATTTCACTTACCATATAGAAGTGAATTTAATTATTTATGTACTGTATGAATGTGTATTTCTCTAGGGCAGGCAGTTGAGCATCATATACATTTAATAAATCATTAACATCATTTGTTCCTGACTTTTTCGCTGTTCAGTTTAATTGGGAAACCCATTTTTAGGGTTTCCCATACTCTAGTAGTATGAGGAAGAAAAAAACTTTCCTTTTCTACTTTATATGTATATGCGGAACCACATTTGTTATTTTAATACTTATTCTACCATTGAGAGTCTTTTGCAATTCTTTGCTGCCTTTTTTGCCTTAACTTTTTAAATAATTTGGTGTTGTCCACAAATGTAACCATTTTATAAACTTCTAGGTTAATTCTTTGGGAAGAATATTTTAATACTAATATGTTTATTTTAGTTATTTTTTTTTTATATAGAGAGAGCAAAAGTAGCAATTTTAAAAACTAGCAATGATGAGTCAGCCAAGAAGTGTTGTTTTAACAAATCTATTAAATAGTCTTCAATGATGGGTAAATGGTGAAGGCTTCCCTTCCTTGAGAAAACAACCCCCTTTCTGCTTCCTTACATAATATACTAAACACAAAAAAAAGATAAAAATTATTTGATATATTAGGGCATGTCTATGCATACCTATTCAAAAATTTTGCAACCCACTGCTGTTTTTATACTACCAGTAGTAAATGAATACAAATACATTTTAATTAATCATTTTGGATATACTTTATATGTTAAAGTAAACTATATTTAATTCCTATAAACTGCTGTCATCCAATAGATACGAATTTAATTCTGAAATTTATATGCCACATATACAGTTGAGTTAAAGTGTTTCGGATCAATCTGATTGAGAACTGGATCTAGTGAATGTACTTCTCCATATTGGATTTGTAACTCTTTTATTTTGAACAAACAATGTGGTGCAATAAAAAGCATGCATTTATTACAGGTGAGGACATTCTAGTTTCATTTCGCATGGCCTGGGAGATCATTTTTTAAAAAAAAACACCCCGAGAGACTGTGCACGGGACCAAGAGTGCCTTTCCTGGGATAGGCTACGCTGCCACTTTACCTCGTCTTAGATCTACGTCCTGGTATAAAAAATGCAGGCGCACGTCACAGTTTATATTATTTTCTTTCTTCACCATTTTCTCTCTGACAGATGTTCGGAGATTATAAAATAAGCGCCCTCCACAACCAATCAAGCTCAAATTGTGTTCCTGGCTTTCTGTCAGCCACGATGAGTTCATCCGACCGGAGGGGGCTCGGGAGGAGGCAGGCGACGCCGTGCTCAACCTTTCCTCCCTTATCTGCGTGTCGGCCGGCATAGATCTGGTTCGGTCTCGACTGCTTTGCCCGACGCTTTGCTTGCCGGATAGGGTCGCCCGCCTGCGGGTTTTTCTCGGGTAAAGGAGACGGAGAGGGTCTTTTCCCCCCACACTTTACGCTCTGCTTTCCGATTGGCGCAGCCGCTAGCCTGCCTGACACCAGCCTGCGACTCCCGCGTTCCTCGCCTCGCTCTGCTCGCTCCACCTCCCTTCTCCCGGCTCGCTCCACCCCGGCTCGCTGTCGTCGTCGTCCTCCGCCCCCCGCCCGGCAGCTTCGGCAATAGCAGCAGCAGCTGTCTGCGCCGCTAGTCCGCCGTCCTCCCAGCCGCCCGCCATGGCTCGCGCGGGGGCCTCCTCCTCCTCCCCGCCACCGCCGCCACAGCCTCCCTTGCCTCTCACTCGGGAGGCGGCCGAGGAGGAGGAGGAGGAGGAGGAGGAGGAAGACGACGGCGAAGAAGACGGAGAGGAGGAGGAGGAGGAGGAGGAGGAGGAAGAAGATCCCCCAGCCCGGGCTCTCATGCCACGCTCCTCCCCGGTGCCCAGGCCTCAGCACTCCAGCGCCCCAGAGAGCTGCTCTTCGTCAGAGGACGACGGGGAGGATGATGGGCACCACCAGCACCCTTGCTTGGCCAGGCCACTCTCTGAGCATCCCCCAGGCCTACCTGGGCCACCTTCCCAGCATGCAGTGCAGGACAGCCGAGGGCTCCCCTCCCAGCATGCTCAAGGGCACCCTGGACTGTTTTCCCAACATGCCACTGCAGCTGCCACCCCCATGGAGGAGCCCTCTCAGCACACCGCAGGCCGGCATGTGCTGTTTGCTGATGCCTTGGGCCTGCCCTTGGCACGCTGGCGGCGCTACCAGCCTTGGCCACCGCCTTCTCCAGAGTCTCCCCCTGAGGTGGTGCCTTCCTTGGCCTCCCTCCCTCCCTCCACAGGTACCCCCTACCTTTTGCCATCCTTTGTGTTGCAACCAGTGGGGCAAGATGAGGATGAGAAGCTTGAACGGCTCCACCAGGCCAAGGTAGAATTGGAAGAAGTTTTGCCACCAGAGCCTGGAGAGCCACGAGTGCTTCGTGGTACTGTGCGTGTGCTCAACGTTTCTTACCACAAGGCTGTGCATGTGCGGGCCAGCAAAGACCGGTGGCAAAGTCACCGGGATTACCCCGCCCTCTATATTCCAGGGGGCTCACCAGATGGGGGCCTGACTGACCGCTTTGCCTTCCGCCTGGAGTTTGGCGATGAGGATGAGGAAGATGAGGAAGAAGGAGGAGCCCGGCTTGATTTTGTGGTGCGCTATCAGACCGAAGAAGGAGTTTACTGGGCCAATAACCAGGGCAAGAATTATAGTGTGGTACTGAAGGGGGCAGCGGCTACCCAAGTTCTACCCACGAGGTCTTATAAAGAAGGTGAATCACGTCGACTCAAGAGCTGTATGAGGCCAGTCAAAATCAGGTAATACTTTCAGTGCCCTTCATATACCTGAAGAAAGTGCATCTTTTGAGTTATCAGTTCTATTCTTGTAATCTAACTTTCTCCAATGCAGTGCCCTCCAGAACAATTGGCCTCTAACTCCCATCAACCCCAAAGATGAAGTGAGCTGTAGTTGTACTCCAAGACTGAGTATTTTTGCTCTTCTACTCAATTTCCATAGAATTTATATCCAGGGCTTTTTAAAATCTAATACGTTGTTATCACTTAATCTATGTATCTTTTTCAGGTATCTTGAACCTTTCATAGGATAAAAATACAAATGGACAAGAAAAAAATGGGTATTTAGGAACTAAAGAGAATTCTTGCCTATTTTCTAGATTCTGTTTCCTTCAGTTAGGCAAATGACACTTATTAGTTGTACTCTCATATGATAGAAGCCAGCATTCCAAAGAAATCTAGTTTACTATGAAGGAAGAAGAGTGCTGATGCATGCTGCTTTAGTCCCTCTTGCTTGAGTCCTCCTGCTAGTGGGAGTGCCTGAACAGTGATTTTTTTTTTGTGATGTATGAATCAAGATCTTTGGGATATGTCTCTGTAATCAAACTGAAATCAAGAATCAGCAGTGATGGAACAGCAATAAATAAAGAGAGATATCTGGATTTAAGGTACTTCTGTTAGTAAAAGGTTAGAAATGGCATAATGAAAAGATACACATATTCACCATAAGGCAGAATTCTTGGAACTTTTTGTTTTACCCTAATATATGAACATTCTCATAATGTGAGATGGGTATCACTAAAGATAATGCAATCAGCAAAAAAGGTGTGAGATTCATCCTGTCCCATTCCAGTTAATCCTCAAGATATTTTCACACATGATCCAGAAAGCATAATTTTGCTAATTATAGAAAGTGTGAAAGATTTAAAAAGAGAAAGTTCAAGTGGACTGTTTTAAGGCAAATGCATAGTGTAGTAATTTGTATTCAGAATATTAAAAGCATGTTTTATGGGAGGTTCCCTACCTTTATGTATGCAGTAAAATCAACTGCTGCACATGCAGCACTTTTTCCAGCAACAAATGTATCAACAGGGATTGCTTAAAAAATATGCACATAAAGGTAATCCTTGACTTATGACCATTTGTTTAATGATTGTCGAAGTTACAATGGTGTTAAAAACAGGGACTTACAACTGGTCCTCGCACTTATGGCTGGCGCAATGTCTACATAGGCACATGATCAAAATTCAGGAGCTTGGCAACCAGCATGTATTTACGTCTTGCAGTCTCCCAAGTCACATGATCCCAAGTAACCTCCTTAGCTGGTCTCCAACCAGCGAAGTCAATGGGGCAAGCGAGGTTTGCTTAAGAGCTGTGTGATTTACTTAATGAGTACAGCAAAAAAGATTGTCAAATTGGGCATTTATATCACTCAGTTCTTGTCCCAAATGTGACCATACATCAAGGACTACCTGTGTGCATTTTGGGCCCTGATTGGTTTAGGTTTCTTAGAACTATTTTTCATTTCAGAGGTAAATCTATATAGGGACTGTACCAATTCGCTATCAAGGCAGGGGTTTATATGAACCATGACCACTTTACAGCTTCCTGTCCACATGTTGTATATTTACTGATAGCCCCAGATTTTCTGACTGACACAATCTTGCTCACTTTACTTAATGAACTGTGCAGGAGTTTTTGATGTGTCATTAAGGATACCGAATTGTCAATTTCTGAGTATCTTATTTTGATCAAACAGCCTGATTTTTCACTGTAGTAAAGATTTTTTTTATTATGGTGTAAAAAATATTGAAGCAAGTGAGTTTGTTCCTTTCAGTACCATTTGTGAAAAAAGCCCTCTCTAGGCCAGAACTGAGAACCAACATAAGTACAACTCATTTTCTATGTACTGTAATAAAGAAGATTGTCACCAAGAAGTGATTATCACCAGTGGTGTATATTTTATAAGCATAGCATTCCATAGCTTTTTCCATCTAATTTGATTCTGCAGTAGCCTTTTTTCTTGGAATTGCCTTACTTTGTTCATAGACATATATTGGGAAAAATTGGGAAAAATCATTACAATTTGGCAGCCTAGTATTTTTTTTTGTTCTAAGGTGTTTTTTTAACACTGTTATAGATAGTTGAATGTACACATGGGAGGAGGAATAAATTGATTTTTTAGCATCAACCTGGCCACGGTAGACAAAAGACTACTGAAGCTTTTAATCCTTCTTTGCATTTCATTAAAGATTTCCTGTTTGCTGGTTTTGTCCATATTTCTGTTTTCTGTTGATTGTGATGGGATTATCTCCTCAACCCATAGTTATCATTGTCAGCCATTCAGTCATGTCTGACCCTTGGCCACTATGGATTAGCACTCTCCATGCCCCTCTGTCTCGCACCACCTCCTTCACAGCCGCGATGGTCATCTCAGTATCATCTTTTATATCCAGCCAGCAGATGCTAGGGCAGCCCATTTTCCTTTTTCCACTGATTGCTCCCACCATGATTGACTTTTCAAGTGAATCAGCTCTCATGAGATGACCAAAGTATGACAGCCTCTGTTTGGTGATCTTGGCTTCAAGTGATATTTTTGGCGAGGTTCGGTCTAGGACAGTGATGGCTAACCTTTTTGCCATTGTGTGCCAGGAGAGGGGGGGCGGGGGAGGGTCGTGCGCGCACGTGCCCACGCACATGTGTGCGCAACCCCCTCCCCCCCCGCTCCTGGCACATGATGGCCTGGTAGGCCCGTTTTTCTTTCTTACCTGGTTCCAGATCCTCTCTGTGTATCTGGGAATGGCGAAAACAGCCTTTCCCACTCCCTTGGAGGCCCTACGGAGGCTGAAAAGGCCCATTTCCCAACTCCCGGTGGGACAGGAAGTGACATTTTTTGCTGTCCCCAGCCTCCAGAACCTCTCTAGGAGTCTGTAGGAGTCTCTCTAGGAGTCTGTAGGAGCCTCTCTAGGAGTCTCTGGAGGCTGGGGACAGGAAAAAATGTCACTTCCTGTCCCACTGGGAGTGGGGAAATGGGCCCTTTGAGCCTCCGTAGGGCCTCCAAGGGAGTGGGAAAGGCTGTTTTCGCCGTTGCCAGATACACAGAGAGGATCTGGAGCCAGGTAAGAAAGAAAAACGGGCCTTCCCCACCCACCCCAGGCCCTCCAGAGGCAGGAAACAGCCTGTTTCCCTACTTCTGGTGGGCCCAGAAGGCCCGAAAATCAGCTGGCCGGTGCGCACATGCGCCCCAGAGCTGAGCTGGCATGCCCACTAATATGGCTCCGTGTGCCACCTGTGGCACGCGTGTCATAGGTTCGCCATCACGGGTCTAGGACTTTATTTTTGCAGCTCATGGGATGTGTAATAGTCATCTCCAGCACCACAGGTCAAATGCATCTACCCTTTTTCTATCTGCCTTTCAAGTTTCAGAGCCATAAGAAGTAATTGGAAAAATTATTGTGTTAACTAATCTGCATTTGGTTGCGAGGCTGATGTCTTTACTCTTTCAGATGTTATTCATGCTAAACATTGTAGTTCTTCCAAGTGCTATATGCCTTCTGATCTCAGGGCTGCAGTCACCACTTTGGTTGATGGTAGTGCCCAGGAAGATGAATTTCTTTACTGTTTCAATGGTCTCATTGTCAATCTGCACTCTGACCTATGTGTTCTCTGCAGTTGTCATTATCTTTGTTTTCTTGATGTTTAAGGTGCAGTTCAAATTTTTCACTTTCATTTTTGACTCTCAGGATTAACCTCTCCAGATCCTTCTTGCTTTCCATGGGCAATGTTATATCATCTGCATATCAGAGGTTGATATTCCTACCACCGATTTTAACCCCAATGATAGATTCCTCCAAATTTCCATTTCTCATAACTATTTCTGTGTACATTTTGGGTGGTATTATAGGTGAAAAGTTTCAACCTTGCTGAGTGCCTTTTTCAATTCTGAACCATTTTGTGTGTCCATATTCCATTCTTACAGTGGCTGCCTGATCAGAGTACAATGACTGAATGAGCTGCATGTGGTGTGGTGATATTCCCAGTTCTTTGAGGCAGTTCCAGAGCTTTTCATGGTCAACACACTCAAAAGCTTTTGTATAGGCAATGAAGCACACATAGAGGTCTTTTGGGTATTCCTTTGCTTTTTCCACCATCCAACATAGATTGACAATATAATCACACATTCCTCTTCCTTTCTAAAATCCTGCTTGTGTATCAGGCAGTTCCCTGTTGGCAGTTGAATTCAAATGATGCTAAATTATCTTCAAGAGAATTTTACTCACACGTGGCATCAAGGCTGTGGTTTGGTGGCTGGAACAGCCTGTCGTATCACCTTTCTTTGATATTGGGATAAATATTGACCTTTTCCATTCTTTTGGTCATTGACCACACTTCCATACACTTTGGCAAAGTGCTTGTCAGTGCTTTTGTTGGCACTGCTTTTGTCTCAGCAACTCTGCAGGAATTCCATTAACTCCTAGGGCTTTGCAGTTAGGCAACTGTTTGAGTGCTCCCACTACTTCCTCCTCTATGATATTTGGTTCTGTTTCCTCAACCCATAGGGATAGGGGTTAAAGTTGCATTACTTTAGAGAGCCTATTCAAAGATCAGTTAAGAGGTTATTAATAATTGATCCTGCCAGACTTTTAACAGGAAGGAACACAAAGGATAGAACCAGGAAAGGCCATTGCTGAACCAGATTTACCTATGACCAAAAGGAAAGAGAAGAAAACCCCACCATACCTGGGAATTTGTTGAATATTATACTAAATGCTGTATAAAAAGGTGCTTAGTAGCCTTAAGGAGTTCTAGTCTGGAAGCAACATACCTGATTCTTATGATACTGACGTAGGACCATATTCCATTTATTTAATGTGTGTAATTAGAAGGATTTCCCTCACCTTATATTCTTAAAATAAAGGCTTACAACTAAAGCATAGAACATGTACTTAGGTAGATAGAGTTTGGTATGGAAAAGTAATAAACATAGCTGCAGATTATTCTCTTAGGTGTTGATCCAGGAGAAA